TGACAGGTGGATGGATGATGGATGAATGTACATGGGTGGGTGACGGTGGTGGGTGAAGATTTCAAGCTGCAGTTTTTGTGATGATGCTGAAGCTTGTTCAACATAATCAGCTCCTCTTCCTCCTCCCACTCACCCCATCAGGACTCCATCAAATATTCAACACACTGACCATCATGCTGGAGCCTATCCCAGCTGTCGTGGGGAGAGAGGCGGGGCACAGCCTGCACAGGTTGCCAGGGCTAACACAGAGAGACAGCCAATCATTCACACTTATGGGCAATTTAGAATCACCAGTTAACCTAACCTCACTGTATCCCACTGAACTGTGTTAAATACATTTTGTTATCTTTTTTTAAATGGAAAAATATCACCATGTCAATTCTTTAAAGCCTATAACACATTCAAACAACAGATGCAAAGTCCCAGGCACATTTACATCCCAGGTCTCCAAACAAACGATATCAATACATAAGAAAACTTTGTTAACTAATTAGTGTGGATGGTTAAAATACAACACTGTTGTGCTGGTGTTCATAAATCATGACACTCCTCTACATAAGCTCCCTGAATTGGCAAAAAGTATCGGTATCAGTATTGCTATCGGCAATACTGCTCTTAAATTACTTGCCATCAGATCAATACCAAAATTTGCAGTATTGCACAGCACCAGCACCGAGGCAGTTACTGTTGTTTTCCCCGAAACAGTCGCTGTGGCTGAAGGAAAAAAAGAGGACATAAAAAGTTTGATATCAAAGACTAACAGGAGAAAAAAGAAGGACAGAGGTCATGTGACCTGACACAACGTAAAAGTCTGTGAGTGGCGATCTGTGATCTTTGTGTTTGCAGTGTTAGATCTGCTGTTTGTGAAATCTGGTAGATTTTAAAAAAAGGTACGTTTACCTTAAGTTTGGATTAAAAAGGTTAAAGCCAGCACAATTTCAGTTTCATAATCAGCATGGTTTCTCTACTTTCTGTCAGTGATGCTGGTGACAGTTATCGCACGTCTTCAGGCCGTCTTGACATGATCATACAGGCTTCCTGCCTCTCCTCCCCCACACTGAACTGACGGCAGTTTATTTCCCAGGGGGGAGAGAGAAGGAGTTAAAGTGATGATGAGGAGGGAGGGGGAGGAGAGGAAATGGAGGATTTGGTGCAGAAACATTCAATCCAGGTGACAGAGAAGGAGAAAATAAAGATTTAATGGAGCAGATGATGGAGGAATGGAGGTGGGGGAGGGATCAGGGGAGAGAGTAAATGATATTAGAGGAAGGTGAGGGGGTGAGGAGGGAGTCAGATGATATTAGAAAAAGGGGGAACAAAGAATAAGAAACCTTCAGCCGCTTTCATGTTAGATTATTTAACTCGGATTTTGATCAAACAGGAAACAGAATTCAGAACCAGGTTCCATCCAA